CACCTGATGGTAAGTGACTACCGCCGCCCATGAACAACCGCGACACCAGTGGAATTGCAGATGCGTTGCCAGCCTTTTATAAAGGTGTAAGCCCTTTTCCCCTAAGTCCCTAAGTTGTATTGGTCCGAAAAAATCTCCGTTGGTAAACAATTCCACAGAGAAGTTGTGCGAAGAAGAAAACCCCTAGTAAAACGCACAATCTCGGACCGCCAAGCATCCTGATGGTATAGATGGTATCGCGAATTTTGTCAAGATGTGCGATGGTGAAATTGAGCGGCTGGAATCAATCCGAACAATTTCCTAGAGCACTCCCCGTGATAGATGCGATAAAATACGCAAAGAGATGCAATATCTCTACGCAGTGCCAGTGTGTCGAGCCGATTAGAAAGAACTCGGTCATCAACGATTCGAACTGCTCTGCGCTGGATGCGGTCAAGTGGAAGGAGCTGGCACTGGGGTGCCTCGGCCCAAAGATGAGAACAGTATTCCATGTGAGGCCGGATTTGCGCTTTGTAAAGTTGCAAGCGATGTGCCGGCATGAAATAGTGCCTCGCTCTGCTGAGCACGCCAAGCTTTTTAGTGGCCAATTTGGCCTTCCCTTCCAAGTGACCACGAAACTGCACACTATTCGATATGACGACGCCGAGGATTCCGATGCTTGATGAGGCAGTAAGGGGAGTGCCTTGAAACTGAGGAGACACGCCAAAGTTGTTCTTTTTAGCGGTAAACGCGCAAACTTGTGTCTTCTGGGGATTGAACTGGACTAGATTTGTCGCCCCCAATCTACGACTGTGTTCAGCAAAAACTGGACTTCAGACACAAGTTTGTCCCGGAACTCGGCGACGTTTTCCCGAGAAATATTGGCATATAAGGCACCACCAGTGCTGTCGTCTGCATAGCAATGAATGTTACCAGTTTGCAACATATGATACATACCAACAACAACAACAACATACCAACGTTCTGGGAAGTCTGCAGTTTGTGATCATATCCTAGACGGCCCCCGCCATTACATTAGATTTTATAAACCACAAATTCTCGCGAAAGAACATCGATTACTGCCAAGGATGATACGTGAGGCTATTGAAATTAAAAAAAAAACATCGTAATTTCAATAGAGAAGGAGGCTGGGTACTACCAGCTAATTGGGATCCTGTAATTAATAAAATTAAAGCTAAACCCAAACATACCACTGCAAGACTTCAAGATACAGTAAGTTCAATCTACGTAGTTCGGACCAAAATTAATAATTAAAAAAGCTGAAGGTACTCCGGGTTGACTTTAACATCGGGACGTCAATCACCTCAGCCCCCGTGACCATGGGTGCTGTAAAGCACCCGAAACGTCGGGAATTAAAAAAAATAAGTTAACTAAACGCGATAAAATCCGTAAAAGTAGTTTTATTCGATGTGTAGTGTTCGCGTAATTATAAGAGATTATTAAATAAGGTGAGTTAGAGGGTTTTTGACTTAACCTTTAGGGGTAAATAGTTTTTGGAGTTGGTAACACTACCCTTGTGTTCTTATTACGGAGTGTAGAGTACAAGGAGAACCATCTTATAAGGGGCGAAAGTTGAAAAAGTGTCCTACTATTTACTGAAAATAGAGGTTCCAAAACCAACCACAATAGCGCTGGCGTCTGAATAACTACGATATGAAGATAGCTGTTGTGAACAGAGTGAAGTCAGCTGAATTGAAATATTAAAAAAATTTCATGACTAGAGTAGTTAGTAAAATGCCAGTATACAAAACCTCAACTATTTTCGTAGTACAAAACCCTTGTTTATTTCTCCATCTTATTCTAATTAATTTTTGCGCTTTTTTTAAATTATGCTATGCTACTGCAGCGCCACCTTTATTGGACACGTTTTTAGGGACACTTTTCATATATGTATAGAGATGGTCCTCCTTCTCTCTACACTCCATAGTTCTTATCTAGTTTGCTTGTAGCGTCTTCACTTAGTGCCGTTGAAATCCAAAGAGTTTATTGAATGTCCAGTAAAATCGTCGTTGCGCCGTTGAATACAGAATGATGATTCTGTTTTACGTCGTTTCCGCCCGTAGTTTTTAGTCACAGAATGTATTTTCAAGAGAAATGAATTAATCATCTGAATTATAAAAGAACATTTTTTTTATGGTAACAATTAAGTTTTTTGTATGAATCTAAGTACTGTGAATATAAATAAACCTATAACGGGGGAAATGGAACAATATCTGGTAACCCATTGAAAGTACCTCCCGCCTATTTCTATCTCAAAAGCATACTCGAATGCTTTATCTAGTTAATCCTCTAGTGTGCGCGCAGGATAACTCTGCGCGCGGCCAAAATTGGAACTAATCGTGTGCCGCCACCTTACTGTTTATAGCAGTTGTCGAAACAGATTATTAGGTGTCGTGTTTTTATTCGTTTTTGCAGTAAATAATCGTCGTAATTATGCCGAAAGTGATTAAAATTGCTGGCAGGGATATTACCTTGAAGGTCAAACGTGCTTGTGAAGAAGAACGAGAAAATAACGGGCCTACAGTGCCGTTTTCCAAAGTTAGAGCCCACGTTTCATATTTCACAGGTAATTTTAAGGCTGCCATAACAAATAAAACTCCCTAATTTTCTCCATTTGTTCGTTTTAAGTTTCCTCGTGTCATTAATATCATGTATTTATAATGTATTGTTTTTATTATGTTTTAGGCGTTTCTGAACTCACCATCACCCATATAACTGAAGAGGGTACATAATGTAGCAGTAGCTTCATCTTCTAAAATTGTGTCGCCGGGGAAAAACTAGGAACTGGAGGAAAAAATTATGATTTAGACGATTTTCATACGTGGCGCTATGAGGCATTTAAATGAACGACGTTGACGTTGTGAAGAAAGAGATTCCTGCCATAAATGAACTTTGGTTGGAATTGAAAGGTGATATTGATATTAAATATGGCAGAACAACATTGAGTAGTAGCTTAAAGACTATGGGCTACGAATACAAAAGGTGTCAGTTTAAATGGATAAATTTATAATTAATGTCACAGGCCGACACATCCGAGTCTTCTGATGAAGACCAGCGGATTCTGATGAAGATGTGAGAATGGAAGGCGTTGACCCATTGCAGGACCATTGTTACACCAAATTTACAAATACATCTAGGTATTCAATAAAAGATTTACAAGGTTTCCATGGACATTTGATTTCGTTCTTTATAATAAATATTTTTAAAATACCTTTTTTGAAAAATTCATTATAGACAAAATATCAGTGTTCATTAATCATAATAATAATAATTTCTAACACGCATATAATATCTTCACCTATAATTATGTAAAAAAAATTTGAAAGTTAAATTTCACCAACTTTTAGGTTCTCGATGGAGCGGAAATTTTACATATACGTTAAGTTTAGATGAAAATAAGTGACCTCATTCTAAATCCAATATGGCGGACTCCCAAAGATGGAGGACTAGTTATTTTTTGTGCATTCCAATGATATGGATACCAAATAAAAGACTTTGCTGAGAAGAATACCAAAAATAAAAGTGAACTTTTTTTTGTTATTTTTTTTTCTCAAACTCGCTCGCATAAATTAAACGTTTTCGAATGTTTTTAAGGAATTATTTATATTAACTTAAATCTTACCATAGAAACTTGTGATACTTGTGTCAAACTTACGGAAGTTACAATCAAGAAATATATTTATTATGCGAATTTTAAACAATATATATAGGGTTTAATATTTATTAGGTCTTTGTAAGTTTAAGCTGAACATTACATTTTTTTAACTGAGCTTTGGTAATCAATTCGGTAATTTATGTAATTTGATATAATTATATAATTCTAGTAATAAGATTAAATGAAGGAAAAAAATATTAGTTAAGCTGGTAACATTAAGTACGCCATCAGTCGCACGCAGAGTTATCTTACGCGCACTATATCTACGTATCTAGTGTAGACTGTAGATTAAAAAGTACTCTGTGGACCACAAACTGTGCTGTGGTGTAAAATTCGTAAGCAGTAAGCATCATATTAACCTGTGGGTGTAAATAGCTTGCTACATATATCTATGGGTGTAAATCACAGAGTACATTATTTATAGGGGAGTGTAAATATCGTAGAGGTACTCGAGCGATAGAACAAACGATACTTAGTAAAATTTAAACAATTTAAGAGATTAAAGTAAAATATACCATAAGGGAGGCCAACCTAAGGATGATATTTGTTTTATTAATAATTAAAAGACGAATAAACAATTTTTTTGTTCGAACAATTAATTAAAAATAAATAAAACCTTAAAATAAAAAAATCCAAGTAGGGTCAGGTTCAGGTTCCAATATCGTAGACTATTATGTAGTAATCTGCGTAAATATTTAGTATTCACATTAGTCTGGAGTTTCAGCGGGAACTTGAACGAGGGAGGATTGCTGCTCTTCTATTATTGTTTAAATAATGGTTTGAAGTGGATTTTGTTACGTAAAAGTGGTGCGGTTTTGTGTACTAGGTGTCTGCGCATGTGAACTATTAGTGGAAATGGTAAAACAAGTGGTCTGATCGTGATGTGATTCTCAAGATAAGGTGTCTGTCTGCTGAGGTGCCTTGAGATACCATCGCCAACTGTCAGTTGTCTGCTGACTCAAGTTGCCGTCAAAATCTCCCAAGGGCTGCACAATGTGACGCATCAACATATTGTGAAGCAGTGTACTAAGCAGGATTATTTTACATTGTAACTTCAGGCTCAGAAGGGCTAGAACCCAGAGCCGTAAAGTCAGTTATTAAAAAAAAGTCTCTACTCTGTGAGTATTTTTCCCCCAGAAAGTCGAAGGCTCAGTAACATATAGTGTTTTATCAATGCTCAGAAGGGCTAGAACCCAGAGGTTGAAAGACAGTTTAAAAAAAAATCAGAAAGTAGATGAAGAATGCAACTTTTAAAAAAAATCTATTTGTAATTAAATATAGCGATTAGCGATATAAAACGTAATACTATTTGGTTGATAGTGGTATCACTTCAAAATTGAAAGTAATGGAATTTATTGAGCTCATATTAATAAATAAATTGGATGGAGTGATATTAAAGTACCCACATCATGATAATGTGGATGGTACCGTTTGCATCACTGGACACCATTTGATTTTGAGCTCAAGAAAAGAAGGCGTGCGCGAGTTATGGGTAACTAAGTTTTTTATTCTATATCTCCAAAAATCTTGGTTGTTTGTAAATTCCCTCTTAAACAAACGAACTCGACAGGTACAGTCCACCTGAAGGTAAGTGGCTACTGCAGCGAGCATATGGAAACCTGCAACCAGCTTCAAACAAAGTAGTTTACAGCTGCATTGTCACTTCTGAGTACTAAGCTGAAATGTCTCAGCCTGTAATTATATTAGCACTCCACACCCTTGAGATCAAATTCTGCCACCTTCATTTCAGCAGCGTCTGTTTGGTGGCAGAAACAGGTAAGAGTATGTATGTACACACCTATTGTGATAGACTCCTGTAGAAGAAGAGTCCATCAAGCTTTTAGCTCTCTTGCTACTTAGAAAATAGAAAAATATTTATAATTATTGTTTATAACAATTACATAAAATGCATTTTTAGTTGATTTTTGAAAATATATATAAATTATTATTTTTATTATATCTTAGTTATTTGAACAGCAGTTTTTTTATATATTAAATTTCAACTCTCAATCTGATATAAGCTATGCACTGGACAGAATGTCCCCTTCTGAGGCTGTCTTAATCTCACCAGAAAATTGTACACAATTATTAGAAAAAATCAGCTCTAAGTCACTCAATATAGTTTGCCAAAATATAGGAAGCGTAAATGCAAACATTGACAGTTTCCTATTATTACTGACAAGAATTAGCATCGAGTTTGACATAATAGTGCTTACCGAGTGTTGGTTACAGTACAATCATTGTATTCCTTCCTTGGAGGGATACAAGCACATGGCGTCAACTAATCCATATAATCAAAATGATGGTGTAATAGTTTTCATAAAAAATAACATACAGAGGATTTCAGTGGAAGAACCACAGCTCTTAGATTCAAGCTCTCTTTTAATTAAGATAGGTAAGGATACTGCGGTATTAGCAATTTATCGACCTGATGCCTTACGTAAACAGACTGACTCATTTTTTCAATCGTTGGATATACTACTTAGTAGTCTAAGTTCATTTAGAAACGTTATTTTGCTGGGTGATATTAACATTGATATATCTCCTACTAATACTGATGTAAACTCTTCTGCATATTTAAATTTGACAGCTGAACATGGTCTTCTCCCTACCCACTTAATACCTACACATAACCGTACGTGCCTTGACCATGTTCTACTCAAAACCACTTACCCAGCCTTCACTATTGTTGTTGAAGCCACTGTAACTGATCACTATGCGGTGATATTCTCACTTTCAAAGAAAGTACAGTACACGCCACCCAAAATTGTTAGTAAGATAGACGAAGTAAAATTGAGTCAAAGTCTCTTAGGTGTTGATTTTGAGAACTTGTTTAATTTAGATGATCCAAATTCTGCAATGGAATATTTTATAAATGCTATATGTAACTCCATATCCTATGCTACTATAACTTATATCCCATCTAGCAGGCATAGAATTATTAAACCATGGATGACCCCAGGACTTCTAAAGTGTCTTAGAAATAGGGACAACTTACACAATAAACTGAAGAAGTCAGCCGATAATGTGGTTCTCAAAGTCACCTACAAGCGCTACAGAAATTATTGCAATGCTTTGCTCAAGAGAGTCAAATGCGATTACGAAAGAAGTAAATTTGCTGAGGCTGGAAAAGACTCAAAACGTATTTGGGACACAATAAAAGACGTTACCAATACTAACTCTAGAACAACACCAGCCCACGAGTTATTACAGTTGTGTCCGTCCCCAAGTGAGTCGGCCGATAAAGTTGACTCCTTCTTTATTAGGGCTGGCAAGCTTCTTGCTGAAAAATTTGACCAGAGGACAACAATTCATGCCCTTTCTGCGGTTTCAAGTCCTAATTTAGTAGATAACTCTTTTGTTCTTTTAAATACAGACGAAGAAGAAGTTGAAAGGATTATAATTCAAAATCAGATAAAGCTGTTGGGTGGGATGGCATCTCCACTGGTTTACTGAAAAAGTACAAAAGTATCCTTGTGCGTCCTCTGACCTTTATTATCAACTTGTGTTTGACAGCGGGTGTTTTCCCGCGGGTGCTGAAAAGAGCTGTGGTACATCCAATTTATAAAAATGGTGACCGAAGCCTACCCAATAACTATCGCCCTATATCAATTCTGCCGTCGATATCTAAGGTTTTTGAAAAAATCATAAATTCTAGACTGGTGAACTACCTTGAGCAAAAGAATTTGTTATCAAATTCCCAGTTTGGTTTTCGTGCAAAAAAATCAACATCAGATGCGTTACTTTCGGTTACTAACTTTATAACGACAAACTTAGATAGGGGTAGAAAGAGCTTAGCCATTTTTCTAGATCTAGAGAAAGCTTTTGACACCGTTTTAATTCCACTATTGCTACAAAAGCTTGAGAATATTGGCGTGCGAAGCCACCAACTTGCATTATTTTCCTCCTATCTCAGTGGCCGATCTCAGTGTGTCAAATTGCTTAATAATATTATCAGCTCCGATTCTCCCGTGTCTTTTGGTGTTCCTCAGGGCAGCATTCTTGGCCCGACCCTGTTTCTCATTTTCATCAATGATTTGTGTGACCTTAATCTTCATGATGGTAAGATAATTACATTTGCTGACGACACAGCTCTCCTTTTCTCTGGAAACACCTGGGAGGATGTTTTCCGGAAATCTCAGGCTGGTTTTAATATTGCATGTGCTTGGCTTAGTGCGAACTTACTAACTCTAAGTTATAAGAAAACTAAGTATATGCCTTTTGCTATCCGTACCTCATTTTTACCTGGAAACATGCACAAAATCATTGCTCACTGTTGTAGTAACCCTAACACTTTCCAATGTTCATGTCCCGTTTTGGAGAAGACTAACAGTATCAAATATCTTGGTATATTATTTGACAACACCTTGACATTCCACTATCATATTAAAACACTATGTGGTAGAGTGCGTAAATTAATTTTTATATTTAAAAAACTGAGACATGTTGCTAATAGAGAAGTCCTAAAATTGGCTTATTATGCCTTGTGCCAATCTTTATTGACATACGGAATTGAAGTCTGGGGCGGAGCCGCCAAAACACATGTTATTGAATTAGAACGTGCGCAAAGATCACTTTTAAAAGTTATACATTTTAAACCTTACCTATATCCAACTTTAGATCTGTATAAAATTAGCGAGGTTCTTACAGTTCGACAGTTATTCGTACTCCATATTGTCTTAAGACAACATACAATTACAAAAGTAACTCAAAGAGAACATCGTCGTAATCATCTTGTAGCTCGATCAGTGCCATGCAACACATCTTTTGCAAGGAAATTCTTCACGTTTTTGGGACCGTATTTGTATAATAAATTACACCAAAAATTGTCTATTTATGAAGTCAACAAATGGTCATGTAAAAATAGACTCGTGGGATATCTTCAGACTCTATCATACATAGACACTGAAAAATTACTCCAAATAATATCATAAATACACACAAACATATACACGGATATACTAACAGTCACACACTCACATACATACATACATAATTACATAGTTTTTATTTTGTTTATTTCTATATAGTCGAACTGTTAATTGGCTATATATAATATAATTTCTAATCATAACATAAGTTATCTCTGTATGTTATACTAAGTGCCTAGTAAATTCGGGGGGGGCCTGGTGACCTGTAATACGGGTCTTTGAACCTACACGGGCACCAGTCTCCCACGAATGACATAATATTGTTAAATAGAGATGTAACACTAATGTAACCAATGTCCATGTCGTTTGTGGTGAGAAATAAATAAATAAATATTAAATATTATATTTAATCTCATTTTTGCATAATATTGCCCTAAGCATGACAAATATATAGATAATGAAAATGGTGTTCACTTATCCCAAATTTCTTGTAGAATGTTTGGTTGTTGAAGTGCTAGTGAAGAAAGAAATAAAAATAATGTTTATTCCAACTTGGCCATGGTTAAGTGATGGATTTACTATAATTGCCATGCTAAATAGATGTAATGGTGATTATTGTATCTAACTTCTTACACTTTTTATATGTATTCCTTGTTGCTTATTAGTATAATTTACATCATCCTAACCCCCGACACAAAAAGATAAGTGTTATATGTTTAACATGTGTATCTGTGTGTGGCATTGTAGCTCCCAAATGAATGAACTGATTTAGATTTAGTTTATTTTGTTTGAAAGATGATTTGATCAAGAGCATTCTTAGATATAATTCAAAAAAATGTTTTCAGCTGTTTGAAAGTCATAAGCTTGTTTTGTTTTTGGCATTTCTAAAATTTTCAATTTAATATTATTCCATTTAGTCATTAGATCTTTCTGGTATCTTACAAAGTAGTCTATAAATGCAAATCAAATTGACTGTGCTACCAAGCTGTTGACATAAGTTCTTTTATTTAAAAATGTAATCACTAGGACTTTTTCCTGTATCGTGGTGGCAGTTTACAAAACATAAATTGCACAAGTGCAAACATCCAGACCCGGAACAATTATTTGTAGGCCATACAAATACTTGTTCCGTGCGGGATTTGAACCCGCGGCCCTTAGTGCTGCAACTTTTTTGCTAAGCCACTGCACCAATGTTACTGGTAATTATCAATGATAATAAGATTTATTTCTGAGTTTGATATTGTTATTGTTGACTGTATCAAACAAAGAACATTTTTTTTGTTTTGAAATAAAAAAAATATGACCATTAAAATACTTTTATTACACATTATATTGCTGGATAGTTATCGGATAATTATTATGTTGATAATTTGCAACCCTTGACTCTAGCGACAATTTGCCTTACTAGTTACATTTGGCAGGCAGATTGATGATTGTAGTACCTGTCTTACACCTTTGATGTTGCTTTGTGCCATTGGTGTTAACTGATATAATAATACCATATATAAGTATCCATAAAAGTAGTAAAAGATTGTGAAATTAACAGATTGCTCTTGTTATTTTCAGCTTCTACACAAAAATATAGACAGTATAGAAAAAAAGGAAAATAAACCAGTAAATGGAGTTGCTCAAGGTGGATCTCTTTTCCTGAAATGCAAAGATTTAAGAATATTCCAGTTAGACATTGCAACCACTACTGAGCTGAATCTAGTCACACAGACTTTAGAAAATTTATCTAGTGTACAAGATCCTAGTCTATTTTACCCTTTCTTTTATAGGCACATGCATCCTATTGTTGAAAATGGCTACACACTATATAGGTAATTGTAATTTAAAAAGAACTTAATTTTTGTAACTGACTTCAAAAAGGAGGAGGTACTCAATTTGACTGTATTTTTTTTATAGGAGAGGGGCAAATGAGCATGCGACTCACCTGATGGTAAGTGACTACCGCCGCCCATGAACAACTGCAACACCATGGGAATTTCAGATGTGTTGCTGGCCTTTTAAAAAGGAGTAGGCTCTTTTCTTTATTATGTGTGTTACCTCCTAACTTTTTTCTAGGTGCACTGATGATTCTTTTTTCATTTGAAAGCTGGTGCTTCTCATGTGGTCCCATATAAATTTGACCAGTAGTTTTTGAGTAATTCTTAATAATTTATATTGAAGTTGGTTGTACAAAAGTTTTAATTTTACTACTTGTGTAATAATACCAACAAATTTAATACTATTGCTCTGCAGTGGTGTTGGAAGAGAATCTACTACCCCATTTAATTCTTTGAATGTATTGTAAAAAGCGAACGAGGAAAACTAAAATAGGAGATGGGAACCACACCTTCCTGACAACAACTTATTCTAATAAAAAATTTGCGCTTGCCAACATGCCTGCCTGCCTGCCCAGTGTGGCAACTATGACATATATCCTCTCTATGAGGCAATCAATAAGGCAGGCCTATGTACAATGGCAGAGACCCATGACTAGCTACTCCTATCACTGTGAATTATTGTCCAATTTTGTGTCAATTCAATGATAGATTATAATAATAATTAATAAAGATAATAATAGTTATACGTGGTAGAGCCATGCAGCAGCTATATTTCTGGTATAGTTGAAGCACGAATGGGTCGACTCGACCGTAGAAGGTCGTACACTCTCACAGAATACCAGCTTAAAATGGGAGCTTAACGCTGCTGTGTTTCGTATCGTATGTAGAGAACCAGAGACCCTTTTTACTGGAACTGAGGCATTCCATCTTAGTCCTCACGGGTGACGACGCATCTGCATTTTGATTTGTAATCGAGGATAGATGTAGATGTCTACGGGCTACAGCAACCACTTACCATCAGGTGGACTGTATGCTCGTTTGTCACCCTTATCCTATAAAAAAATGAGTATTGAATAAGCTCAATATGACTTATATTGAGCTTATTCAGTACTAGAAAAGATACTGTTGCATAAATATTAATCAATATGTATATATGACTGTCTCATTGTTATAGTGATTGTAAATGTGATTGAGAGTGAGGGCAGAGAAAGTGCACTTGTGCTTGCATATACGCTTGGCCTCTATAATCCTATCCTTAAAGCTTACAATAAGGCTAAAATAAATATTGGGCTGTGGTAGCTCAGGTATTAAGTAAGCACTCATTGTAAATTTCACTGTATGCAACTGGAGTTTGATCTCCACCGGTTCATTCCCACCAATGTGTAGTTTTAAAGAGTTGATTTGCTATATGCTCGCTTGTGAAAAAACCATAGTTATAAATCTGTATGTCTAAGAAATTAAAATTAAAATTATTATATATATTGAAAGGTGCCAGCACGCATTGGGGTAGCGCAGTGGAAATTTGTCTGACCTAAAACTCGAAAAAAATGAGGTGGCATGTGCCCAGCTGTAGGATGTTATACATCTCAGACTCTAATTTTACTTTAGTTTTAATGTATTTATGAAAATTTTCAGTATTGAAGGTGAGTTTACAAAAGTTTTAGCAACAGAAGAGTGGAGAGTGTCGCGTGTCAATCAAAATTATACAGTTTGCCCAGCATACACGAAAAGTGTGGTGGTGCCCAAATGTATAGACGATGATACACTTGCAGCCGCTGCTTCTTTTCGACAAGGCGGCCGATTTCCTGTTTTATCTTATAGACACAATAATGGTGTAAGTAGCAATTGTAACATTAAAAATTATAGTATAGATAATAATAAATACAAGATAAGTCATGTTAGAAATCTAACATGACTTATCTTGTCTTATCTATACCCTAGACCACAGAATAAATATAATTTGAATAATTTGACAAAATTTTGATAAATCTTCAAAATAGTAAAGAAAACGATTAATTGAAAATCAGAGAAGCTATCAAAGCTATCAGATCCATATAAAATATCTTCTTAATTGGAACGAAGTTCCTTATTGGACGGTACGGGTTTGGTGGATGGGAGCTAGGCGACAAAAAGTGTAAGATTTTTTCGTCACTACCCCTTGTGTCATAGTGAGTGTATTTTATTTTAAATGACGCTTCATTTTAATAGATGCTAGTAATACATTTATTTGTATTTGTTAATCATTAATATAATATGTTTATCAATAATAAGGAACTTCGTTCCAACTGAGCGTTCCACGACACTCACGCATGTTTTTTATATTTATCTCTATTTTATAACTTTATGTGTCCATGCCAATACAAAGACACTCATTCTAGTCTACCCATGCCCTGTCTAAAGATAATTTTTTCTTAGCATTATCAATGCTAATAAAAATGTTTACACACATGAGATTATCATTTGAACACACTCACTCATAACATTAATAAACCCTACATGTTTAAAGCAAGCAAAGATTGGCTCTACTAATTATCTTACTCTATACATAAGAGACCGCCAGTGTATTTAAAACACTAAGTAATTGAATAGCTTTCATATTGCAGGCTGTACTTCTACGAGCTGGTCAACCATTGTATGGTCCAAAACACAGGAGATGTCGGCCGGATGAAGCTATATTGAATTCTGTTGTTAATGTGGGAATGAAGGGAATCATCTATGATTTACGAAGTTCTAACGCGATATCACAGCAGCAGAATAAAGGTTTTTAAATAATCATTTGTTTTGTATTTCTATGTATTTTATATGTGGTAGAGCTATGCTGCAGCTATATTAGTAGTATAGTTGGAGCGAGATTGGGTTGGATAGACAGGGGAAGGACCACACTCACAGAATACCAGTGTAAAATGGCAGCTTGACACTACTGTGTTTCGTATGGTGAGTGTAGAGAACCAGAGACCTTTTTTACTGGAAAAGTGGCATTCCATCTTAGTCCCCACAGGTGACAATGCATCTGCATTTAGACTCTTTATTGAGGATAAATTTAGATGTCTATGAGCCACAGCAACCACTTACCATCAGGTGGACTGTGTGCTCGTTTATTACCCTATTCTATAAAAAAATGTAGGAAAAGTTTGTTACATTTTTAATTAATATAAGGGCATTTTTATAGTTAAGTGTCTTCAAACCCCTCTAAAGCTCTAATTTTCTAATTCAACATAATTTGTTGAATATTGTTATTATAAAAATATGCTACTGACATGGCTCTCGACGACCCTATTCCCTGGTGTTGCAGTTGTTTATGGGCAGCTGTAGTCACTTACTAAGTAAACTGCATTTTCCTCTATTAAAAACACCTACCCAAATGACACCTAGACAATAAAAAAACTCTATGCACCTAGTCTTATTATATCTTAAACAAGAGAAGATCAGTGCTTTGCAGTAGAAAATTTATAATAAGTCGTAACTATTTTATTGCAGGTGGTGGATCAGAAAGCGCTGCTAATTATTCACAATGGAAAATATATAACCGGTCAATGGATGACGTGGACAATCAGCAACAACTGTTTGAGAGCTTTTCTAAATTAATTGAAGGTACAGTAACAATATCTAATGTAAGGAATGTGAAGGATTTAAGAAACTACACAAATACCAAATTGTGACAAAGATTGCCTCTAGAAGTTTTACACGATATGATGACTATGATGATGACATTCTCTTGATTTATTTTGACCAAGTTGATGGCACCCCAATTTCTATCGAAAATTCCTTACTGTATAGAAGATAATATGTTGTTAAAAACCTCCTCACCTGTGTGTCCTTCACCTGTACCTCCTTTGACCCTTTCCCTCGTGTCAGATCCAATTTCTACTACCGAAAGTAGTCTGATGTTAGTTAGCTAACATTTTATTAGCATCCAATGTTGAAGGAAAAGTTTTCGGACCTTAATTACTGAATTAAGGAGGTGATATACCTGCAATTAATGTTAAAAGTAGACAGTGGGATGTAGAAAAAAGATAGAGGTTGTAAGAGAGGGATCTCGCAACGACAAGTGTGAACAACCCCATAAAAGCATACGATAAAAAAAATTGAACATTTTGGTGTCTGACAAATGTGAATAGAACTATTGTAAATATATAATAATAAATATAATAAAATAATAATATAATAAAAATATTAATACATAAAATGTCCTGTCGCTAAAACACCCGCATGTTATCAAGAGACATCCAACAAATAGGAACAAGCTGTGCTTGTTACTCGCGTTGAAAATGGGTTTGCATAAAAAAAGGGGTGTAATGTATTTAAGCTAGATAGTTGTCTGCTACGTTGAACCAAATCGGTTCTCTAAAACACTGGTGTACCATTTGCTGCTTCTTTCAATGTCTTGATGACTTTTAACGGAGCTAGTGAAGCTCTTACTAGAAACAGTCTTATAAAGACAATGCCAATTTTGTAAGATTCCATTAAAACATGAACATGTCTATTTACCGCCAAAAGTAGCCCACTTACATTGGCTAAATCTAAACTTAAATGTTCCAAAGTACAGGCTCCATAATATTTTATTTACAAGATTCCCTGTAATATTACTGAGTTGACTTTGCATAAATTCAAGGAATTGAGGTATTCTATGAATAAGGCTTATTTATTTAATTAGATGAAGGAAAATGATAAAGAGCTTTCACAGATTTTCTTGATTTTTGAAACTATACATATAAATAAAATTGACGTGGGCGTTTCTAATGTCAAAATAACAGCTTTTTTATAAATGCATATTAAAGTATATACGGTACTTTAACAAAAATCATTTTTGAGATTTTTGTCTGTTTGTTTCGGCTAATCTCCGAAATGACCGGACCGATTTTGACGTGACATTAACTGGCGAATAGCGATAAAGGAGTAAGCCTGCGTTTCCAGCTGCAAGAAAACTGCTGCACGAAGTGTCCGATGGTCTGTCAGACAGTAGCTTGCAGATGTAAACTACGTAGCAAGCGCACTCGCGACAGTTTGTCAAACATTTCCTGCAAGTAGTTGCGAGTGCAATTAATTGCAAGTCTAAACATGTTGAAATCGACTCGCGACATATCTCGCTGCTTATCGGTATAGCTTAGCGGACATATATCTCGTTCTCGCACAAGGGGCTGGTTGGTTCTGTTCTTGATAAAAAAAAATGTGTGAACGACAAACACGTTAATAGATTCTATTCTATTCTATTCATCGCTCATAAGTTCTCTACAACTGAGAATGAAGTCAATGGCGGAATGAATTCAAAAAATTAACGATCAAATAAAGTGGAAGTGGCCAAGATGATCTATACAAATATAAATTCACGACATTTATAGGTCTCGTGTGTAAATACCTCTGCGATAAGTTGCGAAAGTATGATTCGCGAGCTTCTCATGAATTCATGCGATATGTAAACACTATTTCAAGAAACTTATGCAAGACTTCTGCGAATGTTTTTGCAGGTCGAAACGCGGCCTAACTTTGGCTTAACTTTTATTTTAGAAAAAAAATTAGGGCTCCGCGCAAAAAAATTTAATCCCAAGTAATAAATTCCAAGCGGTCGAAGTCAAACAGCTATAATTTATGTGGTAAAATTGTAACTGTTGGGAGAAAAATAGTCCACTTGGATAGGCAGGGATTTGTTCTAGCGATGGCGTAGCTTTTATGACTTTCAGAAGGTGCTTTGAAAAGTTTCAAATTTTAAATTATAATATTTGGATTTTGACCTTGCTCCTAAAATATTTTCATGGATCTATCCTTGGAAAACACCGCCTTTAATTGTAAGAACTTACTCAATCTTAGTGGGGATAGGGGTGTAAGGTCTTTTAAGTCAAAAATCCAAAGCAGCAAGCAAGTGCAACGAAGCAAACAAGCAGCAAGGAAGTACCAATTGCTTACCCAATATTGTGAAATAGTTTTTTTTTATAGAAAGGGGTGACAAACGAGCTCACAGTCCACCTGATGGTAAGTGGATGCAGTGTCCATAGACATTTACGTTTGTCTTCGATTAAGAATCAAAATGCAAATGCGTTGTCACCCCTGAGGACTATGATGGAATGCCTCCTTTACAGTAAAAAGGGTCTCTGGTTCTCTATACTCACCAAACAAAACAACACAGCAGCATTAAGCTGCTATTTTATGCTGGTATTCTGTGTGAGCGTGGTCCTGCCCCAGAAGAGCCGACCCATTTGTGCTACAACCATAAGTAGAAATTAAATAGTTACAGCATCGTATGCGTAATTAACAAGGGTTTGTTTATTTTAGCATGCGTTGATCGCGATATCTCCAGTGACAAATGGATCTCGAAGTTGGAGTCATGCGGGTGGCCTGAGTCGGTCCGGAACTCTTTGCACACGGCTTGCATCATTGCTCAGCATATACACCAAGTATGTTGTTGTTTTTTTTTGTTCAGAATTGCTTGCTGTTTTACTTTTATTTCATTGGAGTCACGAACCAGCTAACGAGTCTACATGACTATAATTCACCAAAGTGCTGCCCATGGACTCCTGCAATGAACAGAAACAAAAAAGTTACAGGTTCATTGTCACCTCTGAGAACTATTGTGGATTGCCTAAATAACTGTAACACCAAACACAAAAGCAGATACACTGCTTCTTGTCGACAGAATAGTTCAAGTGGGTGGCACTTACCCAAACCTTTTTTACATGGTAGAGCCATGTTGCAGTTATATTACTGGTAAAGTTGTAGCATGAATGGGTCGGCTGACCGGGGAAGGACCACGCTCTCACAGAATACCAGCGTAAAATAACAGCTTAACGCTCCTGTGCTTCGTATGGTGAGTGTTGAGAACCGGAGACCCTTTTTACCAGAAACATGGCATTCCATCTTAGTCCTCACGGCTGATAACGTATCTGCATTTTGACTTGTAATCGAGGATAGATTTAGATGTCTATGGGTCACAGCTACCACTTACCACCAGGTGGACTGTGTGCTCATGATGTGTTACCCTACTCCAAGGCTAAAATAGAGCTTACTACTTAGTAAACCATACTACACCAATTATTCGTAATAGATACTAATTACCTCGCCACCTCCGCGCGCTCTACTCCCTGATGGTGCTGAATGTGTTTTTGTATATTAATCTCAATATATAAAAATCAATTGCTGTCCGTTAGTGTCGCTAAAACTCGAAACTGGCTCGACCGATTCTGATGTAATTTTTTTTTTGTGTTTGAATGGGTCCCCGGATTGTTTAGATTCACAATTGGACCCGGCAGGTGGAACTGTTGTCGAAATCCAAAAAAGTACCCGGTGCGAAGCCTGGTGGGATTGCTGGTACACTATTACAATACTTATTAGCTAATAATGCTATATTTTACTATACAGAAAGCAGAACCAGTTTTAATTCACGGAACCCGCGGTGAAGACGCGACGCTCCTGGTTTGCTCTTTGGTGCAAATAATACTAAACCCAGACTGCAGAACTATAAGGGGGTGAGTTATTTATTTATTTTAACGCCACTGTGATTACTGTATCAACATTTACCAAGGTCAAAATCTAATATCCGAAAATGTTTTTTGTTTCAGTTATGTTCTTCCAATTAAAAATTTTAATCAGAAATTAGCAAAGCGTCGTTGCTTTATTTCGATTATATTACTACTTTTTAAAGTTGATTTTAAAAAGATAATTTTAAAGTGTTTAATTTTAATATCGGTCATATTTTGACGTATGTTAGTTTATCATATTACTTTAGGTTTTCTTTTAAGTGGTATTAAATATTTATTCATATTTAACCTAACTCTTCTACCCTATTGGGATTACATGGAAACATGTTTGTATATGTGCAACGGATAGATATTTTCGATTTTTTGAACTAGATTTTAAATACCTGTTGTACTGCTGTTTTTTACCGCACACGTAGTGTGAACCATTTTAATTTATTTGCAACGTGACAAGATAGCTCTACCGGACAGCTAATAACTTTTCGGGAGCGCTCCGCCCGCGTCTCTCCGTGCACGAGTGCCCTGTGTAGACCTATTTGATGGATGACTGTTAGTAGTTGTTAGACTGCGGTATAAGGGTGACAAAAGAACGCACAGTTCATCTGATGGTAAGTAGATGATGTGGCCAACAAACCATCTACATCTATCCTCAATTAAGAATCACAATGCAGATATGTTGTCACCCGTGAGGACTAAGATGGAATGCCTCGTTTCCAGTGAAAAGGGTCTACGCTTCTGTACACTCACCATACGAAACAGCATTGCTACTCTGCTACTTTATGCTGGTATTCTGTTAGAGCATGGTCCTTCCCCGGTCGAGCCGACTCATTCATGCTACAACCATAATGTAGCTGTGTAGCATGACTCTACCACGTTTAAAATGCCTTTTGAAATGCAGTTGAAAAGGGGGAATAAATATTTTTTGGAACAGGCTCCAAGCGCTGATAGAGCGTGAATGGCTGCAGGCTGGTCACCCGTTCGGTTCGCGGCTGCGGTCGGGCGCGTACGGGCAGGCGTCGGCCCGCGCCGCGCCCACTTTCCCCCTGTTCCTGGACTGCGTGCGCCAGTTCCTCGAGCAGTTCCCCTGCAGCTTCGAGTACAGGCAGTCCTTCCTCATCACGCTGTTCGAACACGCGTATGCTAGTCAATTTGGTATGTATTTTATTTATCAATCGATCTTTAAGTCTGTAAAATTGTAAAGCATATTAATAATACCAACCATAAGTCTTTATACATCCCACTACTCGGCAAAGGTCTTCTCTTATGAGAGTGTTAGGTTAGAAGGGTTACTGATAAAAATTGTAGCAATTTCGTATGTGATAGAGCCAGCCACGCAGTAGCTATATTAGTGGCATAGTTGTAGCACGAATAAGTCGACTCGACCGGGAAGGACCACGCTCTCACAGAATACCAGCGTAAAATAACAGCTTAACGCCGCTGTGTTTCGTATGGCTAGTGTAGAGAACTGGAGACCCTTTTTACTCCATCTAGGTCCTCAACGTTGACAACGTATATGCATTTTAATTCTTAATTGAGGATAAATGTAGATATTTATGGGCCACAGCAACCACTTACCATCAGGTGGACTGTGTGCTCGTTTGTCACCCTATCCTATAAAAAAGTCAATTTTGTTTTATCGTGATATCACAAAAAGAGTTAAAACTCTAAAAATGTTGCTATGATGTTTTGCAACACACAAATTAAATGATAGTTAACCATGTACCATCACTATAGATGAAATAATATAGTATAAAAATTAGACTATACTTCTGTGAAGATAATTTTAATGTAAGTATGACTTATATTTAACTATCATCTATACAAAACAAAATATCATGAGGTGATAGGTATTAAAAGTCAAATTTTGTAATTGATAACGTTATCCTAGATATTATAACTAATGATTGCTAATGATTGTAATCATAGATAAACTTAACTATACACTCTGACGATTGTGTTATTGTATAAACAAAAGTTGGTAATAGGTACTTACATTGATGTTTTAACATTCCTCAACTCAGCAGAACAAAAATCGGGATTGCATGCATAAAATTTAGCCACCGTTAATGTATTTATCCTTGGTAGATTAGTATTTTCTGCTTTTACAAATCCGCCTTCCATGATCTCATTTATATAAAATACAGAATGACAGTTAACAATTATTGTCATGATGCCTTTGTGAAAATTTCGAAATGACATACCACACAATGACATACATTAGCTAATTTACTTAACCAGTGACGTCACCACGGTATCTAATATGGCGGACAGCGTTTCACAGATTTGAGGAACAGAGAAAAAAATATTCTTAAAATTGAAATATAAAATTCATAATGCATATTTTTAAGTAAAAATCAATATTTCTCGTTTACTTTTTACAAAATCTATCAAAAATATATATTTTTTTTACATGGTGTAAAATACCCTATTGACAGTGTATATTTTCTTTGCTATTGATGAGTTCTTGAATGACAATTTTGACTTAATTACTCTTATTGACTATTATTATTGACTTTTATTATTTTTGTTAATGTCATCAATTTAATTTTATAAATGTAGAATATTAATTAGTATTCCAATTTCATTCATTTTTATTCTATTTTATTTTAAGGCATGATTTTCAAAAGAACACAATTATATTTCTATGTCTTATAAGACAAAACATAGCGCACTCATAATTGTAACCCTCGTAAGACCTTAAATGTTTAATCTACCTATGTTTGACAAATAAACTATTCTGATTCTGATCTTTAAATTGATGTAAAGTTGTAATTTATTTTATTTTTCTTATTTTCATAGTTGTATTATCACTTTCATAGTCGTTAGAATATTCCTTGATTGTCATACTAAGACAATTACGGAATATTCTCAGATGGTTACCGCTCTCTGTAAATTTCACAGTACGTGACCAAACCGGGTTCGATCCCCGCCGGAATTAATGAAATTGTTAATTGCAATTTTAAGTGCTGATTTACTACGTGCTCGGCAGTGAAGGAAAACATTGTGAGGAAACCTGCATGTCTGAGAAATAAGAAAAAAATATTTTGGATACATGTGAAGTTCACCAACACACATTAGCGTAGCGTGGCGGACACTTCCTTGCTCTAAAACTCTCTCAGAAACGGGGGAGGCCTGTGCCCAGCCGTGGGACGTATATAGGCTGTAACTTAATTAGTTTTGTTATGCTAAACTGCCAATTTAGCTATCCTAAGACTAAACGTCTCGTACTTTTGACGCTATTACCCGACGCCGGTCTGTATATTTTACATCGAGCATTTAGGAGATGGTCATACCGAAGTCAAATAGCGGAACAATGTGTTGTTTACATAATTTATGTCCTGAACCTTGTAGTGGCGGTGTAAGAATAACCACTACCCTGTATCGTCCCGTGGGTATCGTAAGGGGCGACAGAGGGAAACTTAAACAAAAGATGGCTAGCACTATCTTTGTGATAACAACTTAAAATTATAAAAATTGCTGTTGTCATTCCGCATGCCAGGCGTGGCAACTATGGCAAATATTTCCTGTACGATTATAGGCTATCAAAAGTACACTTGAAAATAGATCTCACAGGGGGGGGATATTTGCCATAGTTGCAACACTTGAATTGCAGGTTTGATAACCACAGATATTTTATTACAATTATTGATTTGTTATTAGGAAGATGCTGCTCTCCATATCCTATTTCATTTCTCTCTGTCGTTTCTTAACTACACAACGGTCCAATATAGTCTATTTCTTAATTCACCTCCAGGTACGTTCCTCTGCGACAGTGATCAAGAGCGCGAATCTCGTGGTGTGTATGATCAGACCACGAGCATCTGGTCGTGGCTGAACCAGCCTGAAGAGCTCACCATGTACATCAACCCGCTGTACGAACCCACTCCCAACGTTATCTGGCCGTCGGTTGCGCCAATGAGCTTTGTTATTTGGGAAGGTTAGTATAGGTTCATAGATATTGAGCCACGTGGACACGATACGTGATTACGTATTTCATAAAACAGTAAACATATAAATATCATCATCTTTGTTTGTGGTTGGTTGCAGGTGTCCATGGACCACAGTAGCCACTCATCATAAGGTGGACGGACAAGTTCGTTTGTCACTAGTTATATAAAAAAATAAAGAAAACATGCGTGAGTGTCGTGGGACACTCGGTTGGAACGAAGTCACTTTCGTAGTGTATTATTGTTGATAAACGTATTATATTATTGACTAGCTGTTCCCCGCGACTTCGCCCGCGTGTTATTTGGGGTTTTATTTTTTTGCGCGGAACCCTAATTCTTTTTCTAAAATAAAAGTAGCCTAAGTTACTCCTTGTGACATCAGCTATCTGCCAGTGAAAATCCCGTCCAAATCGGTCCAGCCTTTTCGGAGATTAGCCGGAAAAAACAGACAGACCGACGGACGGACAGACAGACAGACAAAAACTTTAAAAATTATATTTTTGTTATTAGTGTATACTTTCATATGCATTTAGTAAAAAGCTGTAATTTGGACATTACAAACAGACACTTCAATTTTATTTATTTGTATAGATTAACAAATACAGATAAATGAATTACTAGCGTCTATTAAAATGAAGCGTCATTAAAATAATATTTCTTTCATGGCAAGATAAGAAAAACTGCGAGGGAGATGGATGTTATTCCATCTCGGTCGCAAACTATAGAAAAGGGTCGTGGCGGAAAAATCTTACACTTTTTCTCGCCTAACCCCCATCCACCAAATTCGTAACGTGCGTTAAGGAACTTCGTTCCAAAAAAATCAACAAAATGCATTACAATGAATATATTCGACCGCTCGGTAACGCAATAGTTAATCTGTGTATTTATTTGAGCAGCCTCAGGCCGAGCAGCCTCTATTTGAGGCAGACTGAGGCTGCTCACCTTGAGGCAGAGGGTCGAGGCACGTTGTGGATCAAAGTGAGGCGACGCAATCCAGTTTAGAGCAAAAGCGCGATGGCATCAGACGCGGGTAGATTAGCTGCTGTTTTAATGATCATTAACACTATAAAAAAGAGAATACAAAAAAAAAATACAAAAGCGGAAGCATCGATGGTGGATAAAAGAGTTATATCGCTATAGAGTTCAACAATAGTCAGAGTAGTTGAGATGAGCGATAGTAGGGTTGTCGATTTCTATTACGAGTTGTGGCCTTAGGCGACAACCCCGTCTCCATTAAACGCACGGCTCACACTGAGGCTCCTCTGAGCGCGTCAAAATACCGACAGAATATGTCTCGGCCCCTGGCGACGAATTGGCTCATGGAGTGGCGTTCCTCAGGTTGACGCGTTTCGTCTCCAGTTGCGCAGTCTCGGGTCGAGGCTGCCACTAATGGGTACTTAGCTTTAAACTTTTGGCTGTAGCGCTGAAAAGCCCCGGGCTCGAGTCCCGTGCGAAACAAATATTTGTTTCTACCAAAATAAATCGTTCCAGGTCTGCATGTTTGTCCATGTGTAATTTATGTATAGCGACGCCTCAATGATACAGCTGAAAATCCTAATGATCTAAGCTTGTGAAAAGTATCTATACCGTTGCTTTTTATTTTCAGAATTATATTTACGCTGGTTGATCCAGCAGCGCACAGAAGATCGGGAGGAGCAATACAGAGCGATAAGAACCCGAGAGCAGCAACTTCGCTCGCAGGCGCAACAAATGCGACGCGAACTGTACGAGCTGGCTCAACAGTATTACGCTGCGAACGGGAACACCACTGTCAGCAATTAGGCGCTAATACATTGAAAAGTTTGAATAATGGTATGTACAAACGAGGCATTAGAGGAGAGCTTGGAGAGGGGCTAAAGTTATTTTTAACTAGCTGTTCCCCGCGACTTCGCCTGCGTGTAATTTAGGTTCTTAGTTTTATTGCACGGATCCCTAATTCTTTTTCTAAAACAAAATTAGCTGAATTTACTCCTTATAACATCAGCTGTCTGCCAGTGAAAGTCCCATCAAAATCGGTTCAGCCGTTTCTGAGATTAACTGGAACAAACAGACAGACAAAAATTTTAAAAATTGTGTTTTTGTTATAAGTACCATATATACCATGTATTCATATGCATTTAGTGAAAAGCTGTTATTTTGACGTTACAAACAGACACTCCAATTTTATTTATTTGTATAGATGTCGTAAATAGAAAATTGTAAGTCCATATTTTCTGCCTACTTCCTCTACGTAACAGGCGTGAGAATTTATGAATAATATACGATAAATAGAGAGATAGTGGGAGAAAGTGTTATGAATCAACATAATTTAGTGGATTTGTTAGAGCCTTGAATGTATTTTTATTGAAATTCGAATTTAGAAAGAGCTAATCAAATACCTTACTTGAGAGCCAGGAGGTTAAGCATAAATTTTATAGTATGCGAGCACTTTGAGTTCGATCTTCACTGGTATCAATAGTTACTGCTCGGCGGTGAAGGAAATCGTCGTGGAAACTTGCATGACAAATAGATATAGATCCGAAGTCGACCAACTTGAACCGAGCCGGCGAAATAGCTTCCCAATTACCATCTCAAGTTTGAGAGAAAGCTTGTACCCAGCAATGGGATGTGCATAGACTGTTACTTTACTTGTTACCTTCCTGGCGTGGTTAGCCAAATTGACTGTCTACAATAGTAAACACTAATAATATAACTAACAAATGTAATTGTTAAAACAATAATTTAAAAAACCCAACTGCGTTAAAAGTGTACTCATATCTGAAAAGAGAGAATCAATTGTTATATATTTTATATCCATGACTAAAACGAATCTCATGACACCCAGTATGTTAAAATTCATCAAACTATTTACACTACAGAGCGTAAGAAAGATAGCCATCTGCACAGGTCAGGATTATAGTGCCCGAGTGTATGTGCAAGCACAGATGCACTCTGTATTCATAGTCCGATGGGACGGTAATTTTAAAAATACCGCCAACATCCTAACTTTAATACACTGCTACTAAGAATTTGTTGATAGAAAAACCCAAGAACTGATTTTGGCCCGACCCGGAATTCAAACCCAGGACCTCATGAACAGCCATCGCATGTAACTGTCACAAAGTTGGCGGACCAACTTTGCTTTATTTTTGTATATATGTGGCGAGAGTTATTACATTGGGTAGTGGGTACTGTACATTGAAGTGTGATGTCCATAAAAACTTAATAGATATAAAGAATGGACTTGAGTTGCTTAAGCTTAAGTTTATGTTTTTTTGATAAAATAATTTTTAAGTATTATACCTGATACCATTGCTTAATTTATTTTAATAAGGTTATAAACAGTCGAAGAAAATATGTAGTTTTATAGACTTCCTCATAGTAAAGTGTCTCTTGATTATAATTAAGCTTGGACAAAAAAAGGGTTAATGTACATTTAGAAATGTAGTCCACACTACCAAATTCATTTTTATAATCTGGGTCTGACTAAATAAGATATTTTTAAGAAATAATGCTATATATTTAATAATGCTAATAATAACTTCTATATTACTATTAACAATTAATAAGTGCCTAATTTATATTGCATTTATGTAGTTATTAAGTATGTAACATCTTCATATTAACAAATGATTAAATCTTTGTTTTCCATTTCATATTGCATTTGAAACAAACACCATATAAATGTTCCAAATAGCAGTAAAACGTTCGTCAAATGAAAGAAGATAAAATTACAAATATTTCCAGATATATTATATTAGAGTTATAAACTAGCAAGTATCATTTCGTATCATAGCATCTGCAATTCCTCTAGTGTTGCAGTTGTTTATGGGCGGCGGTAGTCACTTACCATCAGGTGATGCTCGTTTGCTGCCAATTCTATATAACAAAAAAAAATCATCCCCTGGACCGCAAGCAACTTCAGACTCCCGATTTTTTCATCCATGTAGACTTAAATAAGATGCTTCACGGACTGTAATCATACAAGTTCTCTTTGAACACTTTGAACTACGATGCAGCTGTGGTGCACCGCTGGAAACGGCCAGCCTCAGCCGCTCCGGCTCGTCCGATCCCTACGATTTGTTACAGCAGGCGGAGGCTGCTGTTCCCGCAGCGCTGGAGATGTAGCAGTCTCAAAATAGATAAAGAAATCCTTCTGAATCAGTCCCCCTATATTTTATGATAAAGGGGATTTTTTTCTCATAAAATGGATTTATATTTACATTATAAATGCAAACATGAAAAAAATATAGATATTTTAGAAATCGATTTTTTGGGAATCGATACATCAGCTTACAATTCGAATCTATTTAAAAAATCGATCTTTTTCGGAAAGAATCGACATCCCTACTGACAATAACAATAAAAAAATGGCGTCAGTTTTATTGTAGGATTAGACATAAACAATGCAAGAATAATTGATTTTCAATAACTTTTTTCTCAAAAATTACGCGCTTCCGCATGTTGTAACTTTGTGTGTTGCGCTTATAATAGTGTAACTTTTCTGTAAAAATACGTATCAAACCCCAACTCGACGGGAGTTTATGGAAAGTCATACCGTAATTTTGGCTCAAGCCTCATAAACCTATGGTAAATTCCCATATAAGGTCAGTGTTTGGAAGACCGGCATACTTTTCTATACTTTAAGTTTAACTAAACTTATTGAACGAGATACGCTTTCTAAAGTGATTTGTGTCGTCGGAAATTATAGGTAATATATTAATTTACTTATATTGGTCTAAAAATTATATTAATTGCAATAATCTTTAGAATTATATGTTATTTTTTAAAACTTGGCGTGTAGACGGACTTGAGACGGAGTTGAGGTAAGTCCGTCTAGTAGCAATATAACGCAGCAATATAATTGTGACGCAATATGTATGAAAACAATTTCTAGCAGTGATGTAAAACTGGCGTTGAAATGTGTGCTTAATGTTTTTGTACATAGGGTTTAAATTTCAAAGTTATATAATTTTATTTAATTTTAAAGCAAGTCCGGCATATCTTTGGTGACAGTGGTTGCAAACATTTTCTATAAAATTGTAGCGAATTTTCTTTTAAATAAAATACGAAGTAAAAACATAAATCTTTATTTCTAATTGAACATGTCAGAAATATTTCAATCATATTTAGCATACCTGTAAAATTCCTTTCGTTTTTTCCTTTTTTTACCTTTGTATTTTTTTTTTGTAAAAGGCTTTGTACAATGTGCACCGCCGTCTTGAGGTTAAAAAAATAATTGGACAGGTATACCAAAAGATCCGAACCCGTATTAGAGAAGACATTACCTAAAAAATATAAGAAAAGAATCAGTCTAATAAGTTTGCATTTGAGTAATTAATTAGTTTGATAATCAAGTCGATTATGACAGGTAAATTTCTAAATCTAAATTAAAGTTTGTTCTGCCTCTTTAATTTGACAGAGCAAAAAAGACATGGGAATATCCTTATAAATACTTGGAGATCCTAAGTAGTATTTATCTTCTTAAAATTGCTTAAAAAATTATGTCGTTTTTCTTTACTCGTACGTATTTTGTTTATTTACTCAAATAAAAATAAACCATTATTTCTAGCATGACAAAATGCAAAATCACATTATACAATAATGCATTTAATTTATGCTTTTTAAAATAAGTATTCAGTAACAATAGCAACAATGAACTTTAGAACATTGGTTTAATCTATGGATATAATCATTAAATTTGCATTTTAAATGCTATTAAAAAAATAAGTATTCAGTAACAAATAGCAACAATGAATTTTATAACATTGGTTTAATCTAAGTATATAATAATTAAATTTGCATTTTAAATGCTATTAAACACATAATAAAATAAGTACTTATTGAATAACAAATGGCAGCAATGAACTTTATAAAATTAGCTTCATCTAATGATATAATCATTTATGCACATACAGGTTGTTTGGTAATAACCTTATAAAGCCGAATTGGTCCCGTAGTAAAAGTTTAGTTTAATGGTCCCTAATCCCTATCTACCATATTCGGCTTTAAAAGGCTATTACCAAACACTCTGTATGTGCTTTTTTAAAAGTAAGACGTATTCAATAACAATAGCAACAATTAAGACATTGGCTTAATCTAACATCGCATGAAAAACAATTGCCTAATCAATACTGAGATTTGTTTCTCTTTAGCGTTGTATAATCTTCTAATAAAATCAGTCTGTCTTATAATAAAATCAGTCGTAAGTACTTGCTAATAAGCACATAATACTAACATCAATATCATTTTTATCTAAGACATAAAAACGAGGTAAAAATAACCTTAATCATACAAATAATCAACTGAGGCTAAGGCACTAGCTATGTCTACATTAAATAAGCATAAAAAAACGCACTTATAAAAAATAGATAGCGTCATCATCGTTAGATAATAGAAACTCTTTGGGATTGTCTGGATTTTGACACAAACCAATTTTTTTTACAACAGATAGGCTCGGGACATTATCATAGTCCTTTCTTTTTTTGTTAATATAAACTTTAATGGTTTTTTTACAGTCTTATAAAATGTTATTGAGTAATATATTTCGCCGTCACCAGGCGTTACTTCTTCTACATACCCTACGTAGTATGTCCATTTTTACCGAACTAAGTATCGTACGAGTACAATGTCATTAATGCCATAATCATGTATTAGTTTATATTTTTCTGAAATAACGTTATTTGAATCACCTCCATTCTCATTATTTTCTGTTTCGAACTCACTGTTTTCTTCGACGTCTTTACTTTCTTCAACTAGTTTACTGCAAACTATCTCAGGTATCTCTTTTACTGTTAGTGATT